CCTTTGGCTCCAATTTCAGGTTAAAATGGTGTGCTTACTAATGAGAGTGCAACACAGGGATTTAGCATGGGATCCCTTTAATCACTTAGATTTAGATTCAGAATCTGCTTCAATTTTCCCCTAGTGTCCTGTATTTTCCTCCATCTCTCAACATGTTTCCAACGCTCGCTATAGAAAATGATGTTTTTCTCCTAAAACTTGCCCTCTGGTGGCCTTTCATCCTCCAGTAGTTTCCTTTTGGGCTGTGAGGTTGGGGTGTTTTGTGGGAACTCTGTCAGGAGTGAAAGATCCTTCTCAGTTTCCTGTCTCAGCTCCACAGACATTTGAAAGTCAGAAGGGCCAGTTGATGCCAAGCCCCCTGGAGAAATGTGCAAAAACCCACCCAAGCTCCACATCCACCAGCTTCTGTGCTGCCATTCTCTCATCTGGAGTGACGGGAGATGTCCAGGCACTCAGGATGAAGAACTGGGGTACACTCATAGGAAAGTATGCGAACTTATGAAGGTCCAGATTCTTGTCTCCCAACCAGCGCCTTCACCTCCAAAACCTTCCTGAGGTCCCAGATGTAGGCAAGCTCTCACAGGTACAGAGCTTCCATGACCTCCCCACCTTCTGTCTGCACTGTCCTTGAGGAACCTCAGCCCCGTGCTGATGACATGTGGAAAATGCTATTTGTATTAATTGGGCAAATAAATCTCAGGAAAATATTATTTTGACATGCAATGAGTTAAACAACAACAACAAAAAAATAACTTCCCGCTTCATTTCCATTTTAATCCAGTACTTATTAAAAGAAATATATACCTATTTTGTACAAATACAAAATAATTTTGAAAATACAATTGTTTAATTCCTTTAAGATAGGGTTAGAAATGAAACTTACTAAAACGTTTACTGTTCATTAAGACCTAGACTTAAAATCATTATTGAAAATGTATGAAAATGCAAAAATTGAATAAGTAAACTTGGAGAGCTAATTTAATTCTTTGGTGTTCTGCATAAATCCTGACTATGAGAAAACTGTTTTGATTTGAATGCTTGTTAAATTCTTTGCTACCTGTAAACGTACCAGATCATTCTGCTGAAAATAAATAAAAATCTGCTGGAAATCGTTTAATCCTTCTTTGAGGATTTTCTGGCTGGACGTCTAGGGGTTATTATTCCAGAAATGAATTCACAGGGTAGAGTTTCAGAGCTCACTCCTTAGAGTGGCTGGATGCCAGCATTAGAATTCCAGGGTCACATCCGTTTTGTCTCTGTCCTGTTGTAATATTTATTTATTTATTTATTTATTTATTTATTTATTTATTTATTTTCTAGAGGCATGTCTTATTTATTTATTTATTTATTATTTGTTTGTTTGGTTGGTTTATACATGCACTGGGTACAGTCAGAAGCACGGGAGGGTGAGAGAATTCACCAGAGCCAGAGCGGGGAGCAGAGCAGGCAGAAGGACCGAAGTACACTGCTGAGGGGAGCAGCGGGCGGCAGGAGAGGTCTGCGCGCCATGTGGGACCCTCCTCCGGTGGCCGGGGAGCAGCCGGGGATCGAACCGGCTGCAGAGGCTGCAGGCAGCTTCGCAACCCAGCGCTCAACCGCTGCGCCACCGGGGAGGCCCTCCTGTTGTAATATTTAAACAGAAGACTTTTATCCTAATGTACATTATGGGGAAGAGCCTACAACAGTGCAAAGACCTCAGGAATCCCCAAGGCCGGGCTTCACCCTGGGGGATCTGGCGCCCCCTACTGACGCTTCTGGCTGCGTGGAGCGCCGCGTGTGAGGAGGGTTCTGAGAGTGACAGGGGGAGCACCTGAGCACCTGAGACAGTCTCCCGCGCGTGTGCAGTCACTGGAGCGTCAGTTACTTTTCGAGGTGTCTCCCGAAACACAGACAAGACACTGCGATGCTTGGTGGAGCGAAGCCCGGAGCAGGTCCAGGGCGCGCACCGTGGTGGGGCTCAGGGCCAGGGCTGGGGTCTGAGGGGCGGGGGGAGAGGCAGCCGCTCCGGCTCGCGCGCCAGGGGCTCTGGGGCCACCACCTGGGCCCTGGCCGCGGGGGCGCGGGGGCGGGGAGGGCGCACACCTGCGGAGCCGGGGCCGGAGCACAGAAGGCGGCGTCTCGGCGGTTCCCGCGGGCTCGGGCCCCGCAGCGAGGGCGGACGCGACCCCCGGGAGCGCCGGAGAGAGCCCAGAGCGAGTCAAGTCCCCCACTGCTCCGCGTTTTCACAACCATGATGGGTGTAGAGAGGCAAGACCCTGCCAGCCCCCCGCTCCTCAGCCCCGGATCCCCGGCCCCTCGGCCCCCGCCCGCCCGCCCGCGCCCGCCCAGAGAGCCTGGGGAGTCGGGGTTCGCGGGGGCCGGGAGCCTCCCCCACCCCCGGCCCGGGCCTCCTGCCCGCCCTGTCCCGGGCGCCCAGCTGCGGTGTCCGGGAGGACGCGAGAGGCCCTCGCCAGCCCCGGAGCCCCGGGACCTCCGCCCGCGAGCCCGCAGCCCTGCGGAGCCGCCCCTGCAGCCGCCGCCTCCCGGCCCGGGCGGCGGGACCCGGCGCGGCTCCTCTGCGGCCCCCGACCCGGCGCCGGGGGGGACGACGCGCACCGCGGGGGCCGCCGAGGACTTGGCCCCGCGCAGGGCGGGACTGGGGTGAGCGTCCCTCGATGCTCTGCCCGGGGGGCGGGGGACGACCCTGGAGGCGCCGCGGACCCCAGAAGGCGGACGCGGCCCGGGAGCTGCGGGAGGAGACCTGGCGGGGCGGGGGGAGCTGCCGGCGGGACCCCCAGGGCCCCGAGCCCGACGCCCCATCCGGGGCCCCCACGGACGGCGGGGACTCGGCCACGCCAGAGGCTGCGGGCTGGGGCGGGTGATGCCTTCTCCGTGGTGCCCGGGGGTGTGGGAACAAGGGGATCCTCTGCGCCCCCGAGAGGAGAGTCGAGGCCTGGGGGCGCGGTTCTCCGCAGCAGGAGGGAGAGTCTCAAAAAGCCGCTCAGACCAGGCAAAAGCGGGCGCCCAGGGCTGGCGCCCCGACCTTATGGGACGCAGCCCCGGACCCTCACAGCACCTGTGGGCGAGCCCCGTTGGCTTCAGAGCGAGGGTGAGGGAGAAGGAACCTCTGGGGGCGGGTGGGGACGAGGCCTGTGGGGGGCCCCACGGCGGAGAGGGGCCCGGAGCGCCCCCGCGGGGAGCGCGGTCTCCATGACCCGGCCCGCGGGCAAAGGGCTGGCCTGAGCGCAGGGCGCCTGGCAGCGGCGTTGAGACCTGGTGCCGGGGGGACCGCAGTGAGTACCCCTGGGGCTGGGCAGATCCCCCCAGGAAAGCTGAGGGTCTCAGACCTCAGAGTGCGCACAGCTGGGATGGGGGTGGGGTGTGGCTCGTGCTGAGACCGCAGCCTGGAGAAGGCCCGCGAGCCGGACGCCCCAGTTGGGAAGGCGGAGTCGGCCCAGACTGAGCAGTGGTTCCCCCTGGAGGGAGCTGGGCTGTGGGGGGCAGTTGAGAACCATCATGGGAGCGGGGTGGGGGGGATGAAGGGGGGCAGGCAAAGGAGCTCCCCATTCAGCGCTCGGGGGTGCCCTGCTGGAAGGAGAGGGTTTCTGCTGTGTCTGTCGCGATGTTGTGCACAGTTGCGCCGTTCACCGGTGTGGGTCACGGCTGCAGGGTGCACAGGCCAGGAAAGCTCGGTGGAGACGGTCGAGAGACAGCAATGGCGGGGTAAGGGAAGGAAGAGGGGTAAGGGGAGATTGCTTCCTTTCTGGGATTGCGCCGAACGCCTTAGTGGCAACCCCGCAGCTGTGAGAACAAGGGGCCTTTGGGACGTAGGCTTTCGTTGACTGCCTGAGGGTGGGCACCTGGCCCGAGGGGTGGGCATGCATACACAGCACACCTGAGCCTGGGGGCTGAGCAAATAAAGGCTGCAGCAGAGAGCAAGGAACAGACGAGGACGTGGGAGCACAGCAGCTGAAAATAAGGTAGGGGGAATGTGGAGGGACCGGGGGGTAGAGGGTACCCGTCGGTCGGTCTTTGCCCTCGGGGGATCTGGCGCCCCCTACCGACGCTTCTGGCGTCGTCAATTTTTGTTTCTGCCCGTCCGCCCAGTGGGGTGGGCGGGGCTTCTGGCAGCAGCTGGGGCTGCACCTGGCGGCTTCTCAGCGCTGCTGTCAGGTGCGGGCTTCTCCCATCAGGGATGCGGGTTGCCCCCGGCTCGCGCGGGCTGGGGGGTCCTGGAGGGGTGATTTGCATTTCCTGGCAGTGGTCACGGTCACCCGCCTGCCTGTGGCTGGAGGGGGGTGTCCTCCCGGAGAAGTGTCCACGGGCTCCTCTGCCCACGCTGCTCCTGGGGGTGTGCTGCGCGCGCGGGGGGGGGGGGGGGGGGGGGGGGGGAAGGTGACGCCCGCGTCAGACGCAGCGCGTGCGGGTCCTTCTTTGGATTCTGGACCTCCCTGTTTTGTGGCGATGGCGTTTTTGGGGTGGAAATGGTTCTCAAGTTTGCATGGACTCTGTGGAGCTTCCCTTGGCTTCCATCGCGCAGTCGGCCTGGTTTCCTCCCCCTGGCAGGGAGACAGAGCTGGGGGAGGAAACCTGGGGCAGTGGCGCACTGAGGAGGGCAGCCCCTCGTGCTGCTCACCCCATCCTGCTCTTAGGCCGAGGGCCGGACTTGTAAACAAGGCATAAAAAGGGGGAGATGAGCGAGTGTGGCCAGGGGGTACTAAGAGGGTTGGGGAGTCCTGGTGATGCAGAAGCTGGAGGTCTGGGAGGCGGGGCAGGGTGAGTGCTCCCCTGCTCTTCTTGGAGACCCAGCTCTGGCCAGCCCCTGCAGGATGAGTTCCACCCCCACCAGCCACGAGCAGCCCACAGGTGCAGCAGACCTCCAGGGTCTCCCTGCTGCTCCCCTCAGCCTCGGGTTTCAGTCCATACACCAGGTCTGCTCCCCACTCTGTCTCTGGTGAATCGTCTCACACCCCTGCACCTCTGGCCTGTACCCCAGTTCTTGTATACATAAAGAAATAGATCTTAAAAAATAAACATGTAACTAAAGAAGCGTTTTATTATGAATCTGATGTTTTGGTTTGAACTGCTGGAGCACATCTGATGCAGTTACAAGTGACCGGTCTCTCATAGCAATGAACAAGTTGGTCTCCCCCATCTCTTGCAATTCCCCCCTTGTCTGGCAGGTTTGTCTTCTCCCATTCCAAGGAGTTGAGAAAAGCAACCTGGAGCTCACCCATCCAGTGCTGACCCCTCCTCCTTCCCCGTTGTGGACTCCCATTCCAAGGAGTTGAGAAAAGCAACCTGGAGCTCACCCATCCAGTGCTGACCCCTCCTCCTTCCCCGTTGTGGACCATCCCTCATCTCCCCCTTTGCATAAAGACCCCTGCCCTCTGCCCAAGAGCAGGACGGTGGAGTCTGCTGCCCTGTTTGTCCACAAATTCAACCACTTTCCTTTGGCTGAGGGAAACAGGCTGGCAAATCCCATCCCCGGGGTCCGGTGGTGGGTCTCCCCATGGGCAGGCAGGCAGCCCGCCAGCCTCCGGGGTCCCTGTCGGCTGGCTTCCTAATCTTGCAATATCTGGTCACATAAACAGGGTCAAAAGGGAAAAAATACAAAGGAAACTAAAACAGGCACTGCTCCTCTAAATTTCTGAAATCTGATCCAGCAGGTGGGGGGGGTCCATTGTCTATACTCTTGCCGAAAGATGCAACAATCAAATCACAACCCCAGTATTTGGAATATGTCCTAGTGCCCAGATCCCCACAAATGGCTCCAGGAATGTAGGCACAGTAACTGCACAGGGCTTGGGGGTGGGGCTAGTAGAGCCCAACAGGCAGGGCTAAAACTGACCGGAATTAAGTGTGACTACCAGTCAAGCTTTTCCCTGGCAGATGCAAGCCTTCAAAGAGACTTCAGAGTTCTTAAAAGTTACAGCAGACACATTCTGCCAGGGAACTGTAATCTCGGTAGCGATGGATTCCTGGTGCTTCCTGTAATCTTCCCTGACATCACTCAAGTGTGAATCTCTCCTAAGACAACCTTTTCCAATATATATAAAATCTTGCTTTATATTCCAAATGCACCACAACCTGTTAAACACGCAATGTGTACAAAGGAAAGCTTCAAATTATATTGCAAAACACTAGAAGACAGACACACAGATGTACTTTAAAAGCGTTCCAAGAGTCAGCAAAGGGGACTTGCCAAGGAGAGGCATCTTCATGTGAAACTTCACAGAATATCAGTGGTAATAATGGTACCTTCTGTGCTCAAGAGATGCTTAAGAACATCAGGTTCTAACATATTAGTTTGTGACAGTCTACATTGGGGGGGGGGTACTGAGATGACATATACCTCACAATTATCTTCACTTAAAATAAATAGATACAGGCTCCCAGGAAGTACTTCTGTAGTTGTATTGGGTGTGTTTATATTTCATTAACACAGGTAATTTTCAGCAATGTACTATAGCACACTTAAGTGCTATAAAGGCTTAGACAACATTTTAGTCCACAAATCAAGTAGAATGCTTTGAAAACAAAAAAATAATCATTTATATTTTTCCCTTTCATTTTGGTCAAACTGATTTGTAACTAACCCTCCCCCCAAAATAAAGAATAAAAGAGTAGATAAATTAAAGCTACTTTCTTTTTAAAGATTGATTTATACAAGAACCAGGGTACAGGCCAGATGTGCGGGAGGGTAAGCAGATTCACCAGACAGAGTGGGGAACATAGCAGGTAGACTGACTGAAATGCCCTGCTGAGGGGAGCAGCGGGCAAGACAGGAGAGGTCTGCCACGCCATGTGGGTATCTCCGTCGCCGGCTGCAATTGAACCCGCCCTGCAGAGGCTGCAGTTAGCTTCACAGCACTGTGCTCAACAGCCTGCACCACCAGGAAGGCCCTTGAAGCTACTTTCTTTTAGAAATTTATACTGGATAAAATAGTTGGAGACAGATTACCATGGCATATCATACAAAAAGACAAGAAAATAATTTAGTTCAGACCCATAAACTCACATATACCAAAGTTTACCAGAAGGTTGGTAGCCATCTGCATACAACCACAAGTGGGGGTATCTTTTTTTCCCCCCAAAAGGCTCTTCAGATACAGTGAATAATCCCTCTTGCACAAAAAAATTAGAAATTTTCTCCATTAAACACAACATAGACACATCAATACATCGTTGCAGTTCTGCAAATCTGAAGCAATAAAAATTCATTAAATGCAGAAACAACAATCTACCCCAAATATTTGTAATAAAATATTTGTAATATTATGGAGTTACAAATATTTCCCACACCTGTATAGCTAAGGGTTAACTACGGTTTTCAGCAAAGCAACAAGTGCTTTAGTTATGTCACCATAGTTTTCAGTTTACGGTCATGACTTGAGCTCTGGGAAACCACACCAAAGCAAGAAACAAACAGTCCAGCCAAACCATCTCACAGCAAAGGACACTATCTCCTGTCCTTTTTACCCGATTTCCTCTTTCCAGACAGTAGATGCTTAGGTTTCATATCAAATACATGTCTGTCTGCTTCTCCCTTCTTCCCCAACCGATTCATCTTCTTCTGGGCATTCTTCATCATAGTTTTGGCTTTCTTCACCATCTGTAAAGGAGACAAAAACATAGTATGTTAGCTACTAAAAACCAATTTCCATGTGCAAATTTTCTCTACCTGATGAAGTCTATTCTGTGAGGTGAGCTGAGCCCTAAGTCCCCTTCCCTGTTCTCTTCTCGCACAACCTCCTTAGCACCTGCAGGACCTTGACCAACACCTGTGCACCAAAACAGGATGGAAGTCTTATCTAGATAAACTGTATCAGATACATTTCAGACCTGGAAGATTAGAGCACATCTGTTTTAACTCCCTTTTAGATAAAGGAAGAAACTAAGATTCTGGCTCATCGAACTACCCCCATCACACTGTCAAGTGGTAATGCCAATATTAGAACCCAGATTTCTAGAAAGAGATGGTGAGAATGGAAAATTCAGGTTCTATAAAATAAAATGCCATATTTATAGCCCTTTTCCAATAATGAATTTTCAAAGTACTGAAACTACCAATTTTTGCATTTTGTAATAAAAATAAGTTTCAGCAAAAGAGACTGTGCATAAGCAAACTATCTTTCCCAAAAGACTGAGCAAAACTGCTCCCTTTGGGTTGGTTCCCTGCAAGAGCTTGCTGGTGCTGAGCATGCCCAGAATCCCCGCTGCTCCACAGGACCGCTCAGGTGTTTGCCCTGCGCTCTCATGTAGTCAACAGCCGAGATGACCATTTTATTGATCACACATTTCTGAGACTGACCTTGACATCCCGAAGACCAGAAACATCTCGGGGAGTTCGAGAGCAACTGCGACTTCGAGTCACCGAAGAGGGTGGGACAGAATCTTCCCGCTTCCTTTTCCTAGTGACACTCCGAGACCTTCTGGCCTGAACAGCATAATGGGCCTGAAAAGCACAGCAGGCAAACTTCAAATTTCAGCATTTCGGGACCCCAGCCTTGCCTCCTGGCTGAGTGACAAACGTGAGTCAGCAGAGAAGATGGTGAGGCGCTTTAGAGCCATTATCAAATAAGCTAAGGAGGCATAATCCAGAGAGTTAATCTTACATCAATTATTGGTCAAACATTCTTTTCCACTTGACAAAGATACCTTATGTATCTCTGATACTTTATGTAAGATACTTTATGTAAATATGGAAAAATTTACTTAGAGCTGCCCATTCAATATTTTCCCTTTCCCTAGATAGTTTTACACTTTGTATTTTATTTAAGGCATAAAAAGTTCTCTCCCTCATTCCACCATTTTTGAGTTATCTATCTCAACAGTGACAGCCAACAGAAAGCTCAGCCTCGAGGTTAAGCAAAGATGTGCAGATGGCACAGATGCTGTAGCCCTCCCTGGGCCAGTCAGCCCTGCCTCATGTAATTGTGGGTGCCTCGTTTGACCTGATGGCCGCCTGGAGATAAGGACACCAGCACTACCTCGAAAGGCAAGCAGGCACTGGGCGCAGCACTGAATCAACAATCAAAAGTCAGAATCTATGAATACACATTAAACTAATACCACATGCTGGCAGGACAAGGCAAACAGGCACTTTCACATACTGGAATAAAAATTCACAGCAGTCTAACCCTTTGGAAAGGAACTTTAATACAATGTTATCTCTTTATCTGGGTAGTTCCACTTCCAGGAATCTATTCAGAGACTATAATTCAGAATACAAAAAAGTTAGTTTTTAAAGATGTATATACTCTGACATAATTCGTCACAGCAATGTTAGAATTCTAACAAGCACCTGATCTGCCTTCTAACTTCTGGGCTCCAGGAAAATAGTTTTAAACTACAGCCTAAATCCTCTCATGTTGAGCGACTTAGTCACACTTCATATTTGACAACCATGATTTCATAAGTATGATTTGATAACTAAACTGAAAATAACTAAAGCACTATGTAAAGATGTTAGTCACCAAAATCAGTCATAGTTCAAGTAAATAATTGTGCAGGAAAACATAACAAAACATAATTTTGTTCTGGCTGACATTCTATTACAGTTTGTACTTCCCCTCATGCGGATATCCCACACCTTACTTTTTTTTTTTTAAGCTGCAAGCAACCCAAAAACAAAGAGAACAAATTCTGACTCAAACATGTGAGAAAATCTTCCTGAAATGAAAAAATGTTTACATCACAATAAAACAGATGCAGCAATATGTGGAATGTGATCATACATAAACCTATTTTTAAGAAAGAAACAAAAATGAAAGACCACTGGATTTAAAAAAAGAAAAAGAGGGTTCTACCACACCTAGTTTTTTGCACTATAAACACAAGCCATTGCTTTTTCTTCCTAGCTTTTGTTATTTTCCTTTAAGCTGGAAATAGAATACATATAAAGACCATCTGACAAAAAGCAAGAAAACACACCAGGACCCCCTGACTTAACTGACTCTTAAAAGTAAACAGAACCTGAGAGCAGCGCCAAGTGCTTGCCCACCCAAGGACAGGATGCACAGTCTGTGGCCATTTTCCAAATGGTGACTGATCTGCACTGGAAAGCTCCACCCTCTGCACCAACAGCAGGGGCCGTTGAGTCAAAGACCCCTTGTATCACTCTGATAGGAAGAGGGAAAGTATGACAAACACATTCAATTCTCACCCAGACACTTAAACAACAGCTCGTGCCAATGAAGCTCCTCAAGAAAAATACTGAAAGTTCTCATCTCTGTCTTACTTGACCTGTAATTCTACAGGTTTCGAAAACAAAACTGTACCCAGCCACACATACACGTGAGATCTCTGACACACTCACATTGTCTTTGTCATCCATGTCAACTCCGAGACTGCGCATCTCGTTCTCCAAGTCATTCCGCTGAACCTGAAAGGGGGCAGAAGGGTATTTGTTTTAAGTAAATTTAGTCTGATAAAATGTCAAAAAAACAATTCAAGGGAAAATGTAACTTTCATAATCATCTATGATTATAAAACTTTTTATAGAAACTGCACCTTTAATTTAGGCTCAAGTTTGTTCATGATGCTCATTAAATCCCAAGAAAACTAACACTTCCTGGGCAAACTGCTATGTGTAAGACACATGTATACATCACATCCTTGGATTTTCCACCACCACTCAGGGACGTCCCTGTGTGCAAAGTGTAGAGGTGTCAGGCAATGCAACCAAAGACAGGTTACAGGACATCTCTTCCCAAGTTCCTGAGCACCACTTGGGAAATATAGTAAAGAACCACCACAAGCAAATGGTATTTCCAAATTACACACATAGATCGAGGGGTGCCCAGAGTCGATGTTTTCCTCCCCTCACACTACATTTTCACTGTCCTGCACATTACCCTCTCTCTTTGGGAGCTGCTCCTACCTTTCTGCACACGTCCCCTGCTATGGAGAAGAGGGGCAAATTCAGGACCTGTCCTGGTCACTGGGTGACTTTGCTGGCCACCCTGACAAGAGCATGGAGAGAGAAAGAAGCCTGTTGGGAGACAGGGCTGAGGATGGGAAAGAATCCTGACATCATAAGCTGCACTTGTGCCTGAAATATGACTCACCCCACCCTAGGCAATCATAGGAGCCAAATAAATTGCCTTTTCGATTTGAATTAGATTGGGTTAGATTTGTGTAAATTTCAAAAGAACCTTAATTTAAAAATTAAATAAGAAAACATTAATTAATGGTTTTATATCTACAAATCAGAAATGATGATCTTAATGTTTACAACTACAAAATGGTTGACTCCTATTGTACTGAACTTGAAAGTCACCAAGAAATGGCATTAACAATCAGAACATAAAAAATCAAGACTCAAACAACTTGGGAAGTCAATATAAATCAACAACAGCTTGCACAATCTTGTGGTCACACATACTTTTAAAATGTTGTATTTAGCAATGATTCTAATAAGAACCCAACATTATAAGGAAACAGATCATGCCTCTCAGAAAATACAAAACTTGCCTTCTTAGCAGTTCGAGGCATTCTAGGTCCCTGTGTATTCTTCTCTTTGGATTGCAAAATTTTCAACTTCTTTTTCTCTCTGATTTGTTTTGCCAGCTGTCGGATCTCTGCCATTTCTTCATCTTCACTTTCAGATTCACTGTCATACTCTCCAGCAGCTGTTCTTAGCTCTTCCTCTTTTTCTAACTCCTCCAATTTCTTTAAAAGGCATCACAATCAGACAAAATTAACAATGGAAAAATGAGTAAGTGTGGCAACATTTCCATTAACTAGGCTTCCCATAAGTCAGGATGCAATGAATGTTGGAATCCAGTCTCACCGTCAGAGTTTTTGTCCAAAAAAACCCAGCCCAAACAGTGACAGCACACTGCTTACAGCTTGGTGCCAGTTCTTTCTTCTTTAAAAATAAGTGCTCCCAACACCAAGTTTAAAATGTACAGCCTCAACCTACTGCAACTCCCACAGCTCTAGCAGGTACAACAAAGAACCGCAATTCTTGAAGGACTTAATAGCTCATCTAAAGTGTATGAAAACACCCCACTTATCCATTTAAATGTCATTCCAAAACACAATTTCAATGACTATACAGTTAATAATCAATTAAATTAAATGCATGTGTATCATAAGCTAACTAATACTTTGACATGGATCCCACAGTGAGATGTGCCCCCATCATTTCTGTATGAAGTACAGTGGAGGAAAGGCAGAAAGGACACAGGCTGGGCGCAGTAAGGAAACTGGACATCACATCATGAGAAATGAAAGCACGAGGCACAATTGAGAGGTTTAAAGATATGATTTCTGACCTGTGGGAGTGTAAACAGCAGAAAGGAAGGGGGAAGAGACTGGGAAAGCAGAAAGAATCAACAAAATCAAAGGCAGTGAGCGTGCAATAAACAAAACAGAAACGTAAAGGAGGCTCATTACTTAGATACTAACGCACATCAGGATGTTATGAACCACAACTTCTAGTGCAGGAAAGAGTTTGAAATGTCAGTGTGAAGGGCTTATGTGGACAATGACAGTGAAACTGAAATGGCATATTAAAGACAGTACCGAAAACCTGGGAGTGCAAAGGGAACAAATGTAGACTGCAAATATTTTATTAAATATTTTTGCTAAAAGGTGGAGAAAGACATAGGGTAACTACCAATGGAGGACATAGGGTTTAAGAAAGTATTTAAATTCTGAGAGAAACTTATTGAGATATATGCTTAGAAAAAGTAAATAGGGAGGGGACTGCAACAGGGAGGTGGGTGAGGAAGCAAAGCTCCAGGAAAATGAAGGATGGGATCAGAAACACGCTAAACCCAGAGCCTATAGATCAGGACAGAGCTCAGGAGAACAAGAGGGGTGGGGGGGGGTCACAATACATGGACTTCTCTTTCATATTTTTTTTTAAAGGTTTATTTATTTATGCATACAAGAGCTGGGGTACAGGCCAGAGATGCAGGAGTAAGAGGACCCAACAGAGACAGAGTGGGGAACAGAACAGACAGATTGACTGAAATACACTGCTAAGGGGAGCAGCGGGCGAGACAGGATAGGTCCGCTTTGCCATTTGGGTTGCTCCCTGGCTGGCCGGGGGATCAAACTTGCGCTGCAGAAATGCTGCTGATTGCTTCACAGTACGGTGCTTAACCCCTTGCGCCACCAGGAAGGCCCCTCCTCTCTCTATTTATAAAGGGAGACAGGCTGCTGAGATTGGCAGAGGAAGTGCAGCAGGAGTTGGAGAAGGATGGGGAGTCTATAACAGTCTCGATGCAAGAGGAGTCACAGAGGTGACCCCTGGGGTCGCCTACACTCAGCAGAACAGGAAGATCCTAGTGATGGAGGAAGGGAAGACTCAGAGGTACAAAAGGAATGAAGTCAACGGATACAGGAGTGTCTAGAGTTATGGCTCTATCTTCCAGAGGTCATAATAAGGCAGAAAAAAAGTGACACAATTTAACAAGTGACACTAACCTTCATGATGTCAGGATCAATATAATCAGCTATATTGTGTCCTTCCCAGATCTCGGGTATCTTATCATACTTTTCATATGAATTCATTATATTCCAGTACTCTGAAATTTAAAAGAAGTTACATTAATAACAGTTTCAATAGTTTCAGCTACTATGTGTCCAAAATGAGTTACTACTTATGCTAAGTCAGGCCACCCTGTGAAGACAACATAAGTAAAGTGACACTCAGGAATCACACCAAGCATCTCCCAAGGTTTACGAGCATCTTGGGGCAAAGTAACCAGAGAATAAAAGCAAAAATACAAAAGAAAAACAAGATATACTCGAAGGAAAATAAAAGGTATGAAAACAGATTATTAACAATAGCAGCCTGGTTCAACATTTATAGACTCTAAAAGCTACAAAGATAAATCTCCCCTCATCCTAAAACAACAGAAAACTACCTGAAAGGAAACTCAGAGCCTTATACAAATTTGCATCTTTAAGATACTAAATTATATGCTGGAAGACAGTCAATGGATGGAGGCTTTTCACATTTTTCTGAGACACTTTACACGCAACTGGCATTTTAAAGTAACTATTGTACTTGAGTCCTTACTTTGAAGATCCAAAATGTAATCATCTCCCATTTCCAGCTCAATATCTCGCTCCTACAAGGAAAACAAAATTAATTAAGGATAATCCTCAACTCTTACTTGACTTGCAGGGTAGAGCCTCTGTCACTATAAAATTATCTTTTTATATTCTAAGATCCAAGCCTTTCAAAACCTTCGAGTCTCAGTGCTTGTATCTGATAGGAAAGCAGTATTTTTACCATCTGGTAGATCACGTCTTTTATAGAGACATTCCATTCATAGCAACCTCCTGTCCCCAAGGTCCCCTGCCTGACTGCAGAGCCCTCTGAGGGTGTTCCATGCTGTCTCCGTCCCTTGAGGACAGACCTCCTGCCCCTTTACAAGGAAACGTGTTAAGTTACAGTGACCTACCTTTTTCCTTTTAGGCTCTTCAACTTCCATTCTCTTCTTTCGTGCCACCACTCCTTCTGGGATGAAAGGAGGCCTCTCCTGAGTAGACAGTATGAGAAATATGTACATGAAATGCCAGGCTGAATGTGAAATGAAAACTAGAGGCAAGCTCTCCATCAGCAAGGCAAACAAAAATCACACCCAGATCAATCCAAAACCACAGGTGATGGGGGTAGAGGAAGTGTAGGACCAATTCAAGCAAGGAAGCCAGCAGGACTCCACAAGTCCAACTCAAAAAAATGAACTCTAAAAAAATGAACATCAGGATGTCAAGAAAAATTTCGGAAGAAAGCAATACAGGAGAAATAAAGCAAATCAATGACTGAGAGAAATTGAGACATAAAACAAAGTACATATGCAAACTCAATGGAATGATAAATTATCAGGTTAATTAGTACTGAGAAAATGACAAGTCAGTTGTAAACAGAGCTGAGTAACTACCTCCACCTGCTTCCTATGAACAAATTCAAGACTGAAGACTTCTAGCCAAAACAAAATTAAAATCCAAACTATCCAACTACAGAAAAAAAAAATACTTTTTACAGATTGTTTTGGGACAGATGGTAGACCTTGAAGGCTTAAAAATGTGCAATTTCTTTTTTTAAATTTTATTTTTTTTAAGATTTTATTTACACAAGAACCGGGGTACAGGCTAGATGTGTGGGAGGGTGAGAGGATTCACCAGAGACAGAGCGGGGAACAGAACAGGCAGAATGACCGAAATATACTGCTGAGGGGAGCAGCGGACAAGACAGAGGTCTGCTGCGCCATGTGGGTTGCTCTGTGGCCGGCGGGGATCGAATCGGCATTGCAGAGGCTGCAGACAGCTTCACTGTGCTGCACTAAACTGTCTGCGCCACCAGGGAGGCCCGGGTAGTTATATTTAAAGAGCAGGTTTATTAGAAAAGGGATAGGACAGTAAAAGACACTTGCATAGACACAAGCGGGCAGAAAGAGCTGCTCCGAAAGGGACAGGTTCGCTAAGAGAGGCCTGCATGGTTGCAGGGGGGCAGCACTGAGGAGAGCTGAGGGAGGTCAGTGAGAAGTCCCGGTATGGTACAGGTCACAGACAGGCAGGAAGGTTGCTGCCCTGCACAGGGAAAGGGTTGGTGAAAAGAAGCATCTGCATGTTCACAGGTGGGCAGAAAAGAGTGCTGCAAAAAAATGTGTAATTTCTGAGGTTAAAAATCTATCTTCGAAAATCACAAAGCAAATGACAAAATATGTTCACACAAGTCTATTTTCCTTAATATAAAAAATAAAAATTAATGAGTAAATGACAAACAGACTGAAATGCTGAAAGGCCATTAGTGTACTAACAATCCCTGAGCACGAACTGTTTCTGACACACATCACAGCCACGGGCCCTCTCCAGCCAGCTCCACGGGAGATGCACAGAAGCCCACATCCAGCTCAGTGATGAGCGATGCCAACTTGTGTTTTCACCCTACTGGTGGAGAAGCAACCAGGATGGTGCTGGAGGACAGTTACATTCACACATCCATGACTTAAACTCTTCACATACTTAAGAACTTACTCTTCACACACACTCACAATTAAACACAAAGAACTGCACGCTGGCATTGTTTGTAACACCAAGAAACTGAACATTTTAAAGGAATGGGATCCATTTCTGTATTTATAAATTTTTTAAAATATGCTCTTATACTAAAAAACATTTCTGGGAGGATAAACAAGACCGAGTTAATTATAACTGGAGAAGCAGGTTTTAAGCTTATACTTTCTTTTTCAGCTTTTCAATTCCTTATGATATATTAGCATAAGCTTTATGCTGAGTCAGAAACTCAAGCCCACACATGAAAGCTACTTGAGTAACATGTGTGACAACCACATAACTGGGATGGGAGCGCAGAGTTGTCCCAAATGCTCTCTGGAAGGTGCCCTACCTTGTCATCTCTCTTGTTTGGCACAGCCAAATGAAGTCTGTTCAGCACCTCATTCACTTTGTTGCCTTTCAGTTTGGTTTCAACTCGATGAGCCAAAAGCCTGTCACAAGCCTAAGGTCAGAAAATAGGCAGTGAGTCATAACTGGCAGGGAAGTCCATGGACCAACTAGAGATCCAGTGCCCCACAGCAGGTCCATGCGCCTCCTGGTCCAGGAGAGACCAGGCCTGAGGCAGATGCCACCACCCTGTGCCCCTGCATTTTGCTTCTCAAGCAGATTCACTGCAGGACTCCAACTGCAGTAGCTGAGCCCTGAATAAAACCAATAGGATCAGGGTTGTCCTTAGTTCAGATAAAAACGACAACAAAGTAAAGACAACAAGAACTGCTTGTGAAATCTAGTGGGAAACTGCTTCCTCAAGCTGCTCTATTATTCACACTATTTTTTTCTACTTCTGAACAGGTTCCATGAAAGCATTTTCCAAGATAGCCCCCACAGAACTCGTGGTAGGTCCAGCAGCAAACAGTGAGCTGAATTAAACTTTCCAGTGGAGGGCAGTGTAAAGTGCCTCTTCACTCCCCACACTGACCGTGAGGCGGGGAACCTGGGTTTGGCTAGAGTGATGACAACCACCTCTCCAGTCCAGCTGGAAGAGTGCGAGAGAGAAAATTTCCTCACACTTTTCTAAAATAAGAGAAAGAGAGAAGAGAAACTGACACCTGTTCCAAGAAAGCACTGACCTCTGTTTTCACCTTCATCACACCTTCCTCAGTCAGGGTGCTGGTCTCCACCACAGGAAAACCTTCTGCCTGCAAATCTGTAAATATTTTCTGGGAATACAAAGGAGAGGCGACACATTGTTTATTTACAGGTTCCTATGATGGCATCTTCTACCATCACTCCACTGTGGGGGGGGGGGTGTAACGGTGAACCAGCACAACATCTCTGGCTCTTGTGAAGGATATTCATCTCCCCCAAAGTGTTTAGTCTTTAAGAAAATAGTAAAGGGGCAATCAAACCAGTCTGCAGCAAGAAGTCTCAGAGGCCAAACCTTCCAAAAAGAAATCTGCCAAGACCCTGATGCAGATTTTTTTTTTATTGTTTTCAATGCTACTTTCTATGGAATATTTAACCTTCACAGCCTAAGTGAATTCTTTAGAAAACAGAACAAAGTACTTATGAATCTAGTTATTTATAAATCACCTCTTCTAAGAGGGACTCCATCTGTGCATCCCTCCACTACCACCATGCTGAGACTGACCGCAGGCATGCTACTCAGCCCCATGACAGTGAGGTTTCTATGAACACGATCTACTTTCTGTTTACTACAGTGCCCAACTTGCCAGTTAGATGTTGCCCCCCAGAAAGATGAATCCTGAAGAGCCAGCCCCACCACCGATTACCGTGTGACCTAAATAAGATGCTGCAGCTACTGCATTACAGATCTGAGAGCAAGACACAAAGGAAACAGCACAAACATAACAGGAATATCCTTGTGGCAGCCACACCACCTACCTGTTTTCCATTTCATTAACTCTTCATCATAATAGCGGCAAACAATCTACTTTTAGTTTGCCACTAACTAGATTTTCATCATGTGATGTCAACAAAACCACTAAGGTTATTACCTCAAATTACAATCACAAACTGAACTAGCACTGCTAAAATTTCTTCTAAACTTTGGTTGTCCATTCAGGGCCAGTAAAAAAATATTTAAAATATTAAGGTGATTTACCTGATCATCTTCAGGAAGTTCAGCTATTCTCCTCACATCACACTTGTTTGCTACAACTATCAGGGGCTGGAGGAAAGAAGTAAGAGAATGAGATGATTACCTTCACACTGCAGGTTATAAGCTAAGGCACTGTCCACTACACTGACCTTGTTGATAAACAGTGGTCTGATGTTCTGGAAAAGCTCCACCTGCTCCTTCAACCCATGCCCACATTGCTCAGACAAGTCCATCACGTACAAAATCGCAGAGCGCAGATGGGCCAAGGCCGTGATGGCCTGCATTTCAATGGTATTCCGATCCTCCAAAGGGTGATCCAAAATCCCAGGAGTATCTACAACCTAATGGTCACATTTGTTATGACACATTATTACTACAAATTCCCTCACATAAACAAAGCAGATTCTCCCAATTGATCATGATAAAGACATGAGAAAAATATTTTTCTTTAAATATTAAAAACAGCAGGGGGGGAGGGGAAGAGACCTTGCAGAAGTCATTAAGGAACCAGCCAAGGACCTTGAGCGCATGATTCCTTTTTTCATTAGTAACATCATAAAATAGAATAACTGGGATAACTGGGAAACAGTCCTCAGTGTTAAGAATTACTTCATTTATAAAATCAAATTCTATTATGGAAATGTATCACTTCATGCTTTTAAATACTATATGCCTCTTCCAATAACAGTGACAAGGAGACTCATTTCATTAGATGCAGCAGTTAGTATGACTATGGAAATCCGTACGGGCAGCTGGCTGCTTCCCTGAGTTCTAGCAAATGTGTATGAACTATCCAAAGACAACCCTAAGACACAAATAATTTTCTTTATAGGAAAGTTCCTGGTGATACTGAGGATTGATTTCCCAGCCTCTTGGTCTTCCCTGATCTAAGTGCACTGAGAAGTGGAAGCTCCAGTACTTCGGGCAACATCAAAATAAAATTCCATTAACAAAAGCACTAAGCTATCTGTTCTAGAATTCTCACCTGCCAGCGTAGATACTTATAATCCATGTGCCCAACAAACAGAGACTTGGTTGTAAATGCATATGGCTGCACATCCACATCAGCTCTTGTCACCTAAAACAAAATACAAAATCCCATGATCAGAAGTTCACTGCCTTATTTTCGCTCATGGTAAACAGTGCTTGTATGTTACTGAAACTAATTTTTTAGTAGAGGAAAAAAACAAGAGACCTCACATGATAAGACTGCTGAGGACAGACGGACAGCCTACAGGACAGGCACATGAGTCAGACACTAGCAAAGTAAGAAGGCCCTGCCTTTAGAAGACACCCATTAGCTCTGCTCACTGTCCCCTAGCCCTACCACTAACAACTTTCAGTGGAAATGGAAATGGTCTAAAATGCACCATCCAACGTGGGCACACACTGCACACACACTGCACCATCCAATGTGGGCACACACTGTGGTGTGTGGTCATAACTAAATTTGGTCTAAATGTGGTCATAACTAAATTTCTAATTTTGCTTAAGTTTAATTAACTTAAACCTTAAGAAGCTACATATGGCCAGTGACCAATATCTCAATCTCACAACACCGGCTGACTAGTGCCAAGAGACATCCACTAGGACACTGTGGCGCTTTATTTCAGTTTGTCATAATCATAGCAACTGTGGGCAAAATAAAAACCTACACATCTGCTGAAGTCAAATGTGTTCTTGGGAGCAAGTAGCCCCAATATAACAATTGATTTTTGTACCTCAACTGTTGTTTTTTGTAAAAGTTACATTTTAAACAATTTCTGGTCCTTTCAGGTCCCTTGAGCTCAGTTCAACTGCCTTGAATCTCCAAGTTACTGAATTACTTGAACAGTACCCTGGAGTTCTAATTAATAAGCTCACTCATGTAAGAGCAACTCAGCCATTTATCAACACATGGACGAGTTTATGTGAAAGCTGACACAGCAGCTTGAGCGATGTCCTCTAAGAAATACCTGCCTTGTATTCTTACCTCCAAGAGCCTGGGAGGTATAGTTGGCCAGAGTAAATAGTAATACCCTGGCACTAGCATTCTCAAAATACATGACAGACAACACCTCCTGGGAGAAGGTCTTAGTATATTAACAAAAATTAATCAAGTATCCTAAATGTCTCAAATTCCACAGAAACATACAGGAGACATACAAGAATCAAATAACAAAATGAATTCTGTAATAACAATATAGTCCAGGTTCAGACAGAATCAATCCTCCCTTGGTGGGTGTTTTAAGTTGAAGGCATATGGACCAAACTCCCAAATGGCTGGCCAGCCTCCTCCAGTAGCACATGAAGCACTTTGGGCCAGATCTAGCTGCCTGCATTATCACTAGAGACAGACCAACCTTATTGATGAAGCTGGACTTGCCAACGTTTGGGTACCCACACAGAAGAAGGGTCCTTGTATTCGGATCAATAGTTGGTAGACGGGACAGATGCTGACGCACTGTGAGGAGTTTAAGTTAGATGTGTTTAATTTTGTAAGAAATGCAAAGTTTAAGATCTGCTTTGGCTTAGTTATACTCCAGGTCAGTGGCTATACTGACTCATTTCAATATGTACAACACATGATAGAGAAAACAGGAATGAATAAAAAACGATCAGCCACAAGGGCACCATGGTGTACATTACAGTAGTCTCACATCTGCTGAACCAAGAATCCTATTCCTAGGCCCTACTTTCTTGGTATTCCTATCAAAGGCGGGGTCAAAGACACATGTTTAAGAAATGCCCAGACAATTATGATGAAGTGAGATATTTGGAAGACATTATTGAGGAGAGCATGTTTGCTCTCATTTCCTGGCTGACAGCGAGCTGTTTCCCTAGAGTGACTAATCCTCAGAGCACGTCTATAAACACTCAGTTTCCAGGACACCACAGAGCAGTTCTGATCAGACAGATTGTTGAAAGCTGTCAAAGCAGTCAAGTATTATAATCTTGTCTCAGATTGTTTGCAAGATGCGGGGGAGAGAGAACAAAACCAAATGAATCTAAAAAAAGTTGCAGTGTAAAAATATGCATGTAAAAAAGCAAATAATTGTTTCAATAAAAATCCTACATTAGTTCAGAAATTGTCCTATAAATAAAACCACCAAGTAACAAAAATGGAGCAGCAGTAGACGCTAACATATATTACAAAAAGATACACAAAAAAGATTAAAAGTCAGTAATAGATGAAACTATGGGTCATTTTATTTGTGCATTTTCCACTAACTTATGGTTGTCTTATTTATTAAATATGGAAAACACAAATTTTCATGATAGTGTCTTAATTTGTAGGGATTTCAGGTTCTAGCTGCCTTTTCAACCAAAATTTTTTACAGACTGGGTTGGGAAAAATAATTTGACCTCTGTAAAATAAAACAAAGAAAATATTCAAAAGTAAATTCTCAGCAACATTCAGGTATCTTAATAGAACACTAAGAACCGTGTTGCTTATGCCTAACAAGTACCTTGTTCCAAATATTCCAAACTCTGCTTCTGTCTTTTGATAACAGTGCACATTCGCCCAAGGGCAGCGCGCTTCAGCTGCTTACAGCGGTAGAGAGAGTCACCATATTTCATAAGCCGCACGTAATCTTTAGCAACACTGAAAAACATAAAAAGAAATGTATAAAGTCTTTTTCACTTTTGACAATATTTTAAAAGGTACCATATGAAGAAAATACCTTACTTGTCCACTAAATTTTTGGCAATATTTATTTGTCCTAGAGCCAACTTGTAATGATCCTTGTCATAGAGAATATTCATCAAATCAGCATAAAACGGATGGATATCCTATAACAAGAAAAACAAAGCCATCATTTCTTGCAATAGTTCCTCATCCCTGGATAGCAACAACACTTAAAAGAATAATTTACTAGGGTAATCTATCACTTTTTCTTCTCTCCTAGACTTTTCTGGGAAACAGAGGCTATGAACAGGCAACCAGCTCGCAGTCACTTCTACCTGCCTGCCCACCTACCCACTCCTCCCTGCTGCTGTGGGAGAGTCGTCCACAGGCCTAGAGAGGCCAAGCCTCCCTCTGCACCAGACCCATTCCTTCACAACTCAATACACAGTTCCAGAAATCCTCCCCCTCTCCACCTGGCCATTCCTATCAGCCTGCAAACATGGTTATTTCTCACATTTTATAGATGTTTACAACCCACAGTCCTCCATTTCTTTGCTCCCCAGGAAGCATATCTTCTCCATCCCCATAAACCCAATCCAGTCAGGGTTTTGTCTCTACAGACCACCAATGTCATTCTTTTCCTGGCCTTTCCCCAGCCCATTGCCCCCAGCCCCCTCCACATGTGGATGCATTGCCCTCCAGCCCCAGACAACAGGGTACTCTATAACATGCCACTTTTCAGACTCCATTGCCATCTTCCTCCCACCAGAACTGTAACATTCATGTTCCCCAAGCACTGCTCCTTCCACCCACTGCTTTGGTGCGTCCATGGAGATCTCCTGGACAGCCCTCTTGGGAGCTTCAAGCTGTTTGGCATTTCTTGGACACTGTACCCACAACTCACCATTAGTGTGCAAACCACTCCCCACCCTATCTCCACTGCCCACAGGGCCCAGGCCTACACCTATTCTAGGAGCAAATCCATCAGTTCCTCCTTCCAAGGACACTTCTCAACTCCTTCACTGCCATGTATATAAGTGGCAACGTTAACCTCCAAGACATCTCTTACCCCACAGGCCAGCCACTTCTAAAGGTTAGATCAAGCAAGGCATATCCCATGCTCAAGTCCATACTCTGGACCTCTGGGCCTTATATATGCTCTTTCTTAAGGCCGTGCATGGGTTCCCAACTCATTTGCTTCGGGTCTCTGCAGCACTCCCTGCACTGCACTTCCTGCTTACTCAACTGACACACTATTTTGTGGTTCCAGTCTTTCCCCCATTAGGAGGATAGGCTCTTTCTCACTGCTGTATTCATAGAGCCAAGAATAGCACCTGAGACAAAGCAATCATTCAACAAACAGTTGCTTTCTCTAACCCTCTAAATTTGTTCTCAAGTACCTAATTTAAATAAAAAAACAGGAATAAAATGTTCATAAATTTGAACCTCTACTGCATTAAAAAAAATCCCAACGATGAAAAATAAAACACTTCTTACCAATTTACCAAAAAAACCTGGCACTAATTAATTAGATCATCGTTTGCTGAAATTCACTGTCTAGTATCAATTCAGAATAATCTCATCTTGCGGGCTTTTTCCTCTCCTACGGTCCCCATCCTTTCCCAAGAAACTCATTCAAGAGCATCTACTGAGCACCTGTGTCAAGTCTGAAAGAGATATAACTATGTGTCCTCTGGAGCAAATTTTTACTTTTTAAACATTTCTGTATCTTTTAAACAAGTCCACCCCCCTTTTTTTTTTTTACCAAAAAAGAAATTCTTGTACATAAAATCAACCTTTTTCTTTGTCTTAACCTACATTCTCAGACACTTCTGGGCAGCAAAAAATCTAGGCCCTCACACTATATTACTGATCCATACCCTTGTCCTCCTCCAATAGCCTTGCAACTACATGACCCACACAGGTACTTCACAAGCAGTATCCCCTATGACTTCTACAGCTCAACAGGTGAGAGCCTGAGGAAAGGCATCAGCCTCTTAGAGGGGGTCTGGTGGGGACAAGGAAGCATACCAAGGAATCACTAACTTACTGAATAACCTCGTTACCACTAATTTACTAACTAAACCATGATCAATCAATTACTTTGTTTCCTTTGTTCCCTGTCAAATATATAAATGAAACCCATTAAACATTGATTATCTGAAGACTTAATTTATGTAATTATATATACCCAAGAGACACTTACATCCAATTTAGGGAAATCTGTCAGAATCTGAGAAAGTCTGTCATGGTAATTCTGTTGAGTAAATTTGACTTTTCTCATGTAAAAGTGCCTAATGCGATGAATTTGGTAATGCTTATGAATAACTGTTGGAGTCTTTCGTTGAGTCTTCGATAATGTCAGATCAATAAAGTCCTGAAATAAAATAAGAGACCGTTACACCAAAGACATATACTTTTCGTCCACTTATTTAAAACCTTCTTACAAAAAACTAGTAATTAAAAATGCTTTAAATTACATGTACTTTTTTCTAGCTAAATCTTTCATCTTTCATATATAACCATTGTCATCTTTTATAGTTTCTGGCTTTGATGAAATGCTTAATAATGACTGCTGAAATAAATTGTATCCCATATTTTGGTGTCTTCTTAATTTCCAAATTCCTAAGAAATTGAAACTTAGATAACTCAAGCATCAATCAAAAATTGCTAAAAAAGAGGGCCTCCCTGGTGGTGCAGGGAGTTAAGATGCAACCTATGAAGCTATCCTATGAAGCCATCCGCAGCCACTGCAGCACGAGTTTGATCCTCAGCCAGGGAGCTGCCCACATGGTGCAGCAGACCTCTCCTGGCTTGCCCGCTGCTCCCCTCAGCAGTGTATTTCACTCATTCTACCCTTTCTGCTCCCCACTGTCTCTGGTGAATCCACTCACACACCCACCCCAACATCCCCCTGCACCTCTGGCCTATACCCCAGTTCTTGAATGCATAAATAAACTTAAAAAAAAAAATCACTAAAAAAGAAACTCCTAAAATTTATTTTTTTTTTAAAGATTTATTTATTTATACAAGAACCAGGGTACAGGCCAGATGTGCGGGAGTGTGAAAGGATTCACCAGAGACAGAGCAGGGAACAAAACAGGCAGACTGACGAAATATACTGCTGAGGGGAGCAGCAGGCGAGGCAGGAGAGATCTGCCGTGCCATGTGGGATTCTCGCTGGCCGGCGGGGATTGAACCCACGCTGCAAAGGCTGCAGAAAGCTTCACAGTGCGGCGCTCAACATCCTGTGCCACCAAGGAGTCCCAGAAACTCCTACAATTTAAATATACATCTCTGACTCTGAAAGTACCAAAAAAAAAAAAATGGATAAAACTAAATCCATCATTTATAATTTCCTAAGATATGCTAAAATGACTAGCTGAAGATATGAAAGACTTCTGTATAAATTCCTCAATGCAGAGATAAGCAGTCCAGTGCCTATGACACTGCCAGTACTAGGAGGGACAAATGTGGCATAAGACCTCTTTCTAGTAAATTCTATGAACTTCTAAGGGTCCAGATCAAAAATTACCCACTTCATAGTTTTCCTGACTCTCCCCTATCCATAGCTAACCGTGCTCTGCCATGCAGGAAATCCACAGAATTCTTTCATCACATACTTCTCATTGTTTCTAGTGTGGTGACAGTGGTTCCACCCACCCTCTAAAAAGGACTTTCAAAAAAATGGTTCTTATGCATTCTTGACACTGCAGTCCCTAGCACATAACATTTTCACAAACTACCTTTTAGAATCAATCAAATCCCATACTTTCCTGATCAGTCAGATATTTTTAAAGCTTCATTCACTGAAGGACTATCATCACCCATCTTCACCTGTCTCTGGAATACAGACCTAGCTGACAAGATGAGTGCTACACTACCAATCATTTCTGTAAAAGAGCTCTACTTTTGATAAAACAGAAACTTTGTGCATAGAGCACATTCTAAAAAGGGGTGAGTTCATTCAACAAACTTCATAGTTGGTAAATATCATGAGGATTCAAGACACAAATAAAACATGATCCCTATGCTCACAAACACCACAAACTAGCAAGGCCTGTCAGAAACGACACAGGAGGGAATGAGAGAATACAGGAAAAAGGAGATTCTGCATGATGACCCCTACACTATGGATACTGAGCAATGCCATGCAGCAGGTTGGCCGTTTCTGGGACCGAGGGCGAGAGAAGACAACCGTCTGTGCACCTGTCCTCCTGGAGGTTCGGATCCACCCAAGCGTCAGCCAAGCAAACTCTGCTTTTTTGTCAGTCTTGCAGCACTTTAGAACTCACTCTTGCTAATGTCAACACCACTATGCAAGTTCAGGCTAACCTTGTCAGCTGAGGAAAACCTGCGTCTCCAAATCCAACAGTGAGAAGGAATGATTTAAAAATTCAGACACTAAGTTCTGAGAGCAGCGAAACAGAACCAAACTTTGCTGTGCGAAGGGGGAAGGAGGGGAAATAGTGATGCAGAAAGCGCTCGGCACCCGGCACCCTGCTCCTGCCTCCCGGGGTGGAACCAGGGAAGGGGGCTTGCTGGGGAAACCGGGAGGAGGCCTGACCTGAGAAGTGACCCCGGGCTATGGGAGGGAGGGAGGATCCCTGCTCTCCCCGGCCCTGATCTCTGAGGAAAGAGCTTTTCCTCTCTGGGGGGCACACCTCCTCTCTCGGGGAGACTGTCCTCCCTGGGGTGAGGAGGGAATCCCTGACCGTCAAGGAACCCTCCTCTCAGGGGAGGACCCCTACTCCCGGGGGGACGCTCCTTTCTGGTGTAACAGCTGCTCCTGAGAGGCCCTCCTCGTTGGGGGGAACCCCTATCCCGGGCCCTAATTTTGAGAACACGGCATAGGAAGTGGGCCTCGCAGAGACCACCACTCCCCCGGCCAAGAGTCACAGGCCCCTCGGCGATCTGTCCAAAGAAAAAGGCAAGAAGCGGCGCCATCAGAAGCACCTACCTTGGCGGAGGGCACCACAGTGATCTTCTTGAAGTTGTAGTGCGCCATGCTGGCGGCCAGACACGAGGGGCAGCGCACGAGACGGGCTCGCGCGAACGGCGTGACGAGACTTCCGCGCAGGGGGCGGGACTTCCGCCGCCGGAGCGGCCCTTCTGGACGTTCCCTGCCCCCCTCCCCCACACGGCAACACCGTTCGCAGCGCCCCCGCGCGGCTTGGAGGTCCCCAGCAAAGGGGCCCGCAAAGTAAGCGTCGCGGGTGAGGGCGGACAGCTGGGAGGCCGAGGCGCCGGGGTTGCTTCCCTACCAGATCAGGAAGGGGCCATCAGGGACCCGACAGGCCACCCTGGGGCTCTGTGCTCCCATGATGGCTACCCGGGTCCAGGCCCCTGCCGCTCGAGACTCCCCGTCTGGGGGAGCCCTGGGATTGAGGGGTTTGAGGGGCTGGGGGTTCGGGGGCTGGGGGCCGAGGACCCCTGGAGTTGAGAGGGTCAAGGGTCATGGGGGATTCAGGGGGTTGGGTGTCTCGGGATCTGGGGGTGTAGCTAGAGAACCCGGAAGATCTGGGAGCTGGGGGGTTCCCCGGCTTTTGGGCCGGGCGTCTTGGGGGACTGTGTGTCTCCGGGATCCATGGGGCTGGGGATCTTAGGGCTTTGGCTGGGGGTTCTCGGGGCGCGGGGCTGGGGGCTGGGAGTTGGAGGGAGCCAGGGATCTCAAAGGTTCTGGGGGACCCGGGATCTCCGGGTACTTGGGGATCCGGGGGTTTGGGGGACTCCGGAGGTAGGGGTTTTCGGGGACTAGGGTCTCTCTGGCTGGGGTTTCCGGGAGTCGGAGGGGTTGGGGTCCCGGGGCCGTGCGCCTGCGCGTGATTCTGCAGTGGCTGGTGGCTCGCTCGGCTGTGGGACCACCGTTCCTCTCTGGCCAATCCGGTGAAACCTCAGTAAAGCGGGGGAAGTGCTGGAAAAACCTGCGGGCTCCGCCCTTCTGGCTTCACTTTCCTTGTTGGCTTGCTGCCAAAACTGGACTGGGCCCTGACCTGTAACCTTCAGTTTTTTCTACCTCTTAAACCCTCCTCTTTTCCAGTAATGTCAACAATTCTGGCTCTTAATGTCTCTGATTCGGACATCTGTGCTGACCCACATCCTGGCTGTCTCTAATGAGCTAGTTCTCTTGAGATTACCGCTTCTTTGCTGCTCCTCTGAAGTCTCTTTGGGTGACTATAATGAAATGGACTTTTCCAATCAGTCGTGGAATGCTGCATGCCTCCAGATTCGTCAAACCCAGCAATTCTGAAGATGCAGAACCACCTATCTTTCACTTACTGCAAGTAAATCCATCCTCACTGGGCTGTGCCAGAGAGCAGCCCGGTCCTGAGAAATGAGCTTCCAGAACGGTGTAAAAGAACATAGTGGGTAAGGTGTCTAGGGGCAAAGGTGGGGTGAAGCCAGAGAAGACATCCAAAAGACTGTTAATTGCAAGAACAAGGGGCAAGAGGAGAGGCCTGCTGTAAGGCAAAGGGTGTGTTAAGAGAGCTGAGGACATAGCCTGTGGTGTTTGAATGAGGAGTAGCTGACAGGGAGGAGCATTTGGAGACTTACTACTCTCATTTCTCTAAGGCAGTGAGGATCATATCCCACGGTAAACTTTATGTGGGTGTCAGATAATGCCCAAAATAGCTAACCACAGATGGACTCACTTCATTCCCACAACAACCCTGTGAAGACACAGATCCACTAGCAACTGGCTCATGGTCACACAGTCACTTGGTGGCAGAGGTGAGTTGAACATAGGGAACCTGGCTCAGTGGCTGTGCCGTAAACCATCAGCTAGTCTGCTTCTCAAGCATCTTGGATGCCCCTCATCTTCACAAATCCTTTTAATCAGGCCTATCATCCTTAGATGAAAATGTCTTATAAGTTCCCAAAATTCCAATGATTGTTATTTCTTGATTATCCCTTGTCTCTTATAAAGTATACCCCCATTTTGGGGGGTATAGTTAGCTAGGCATATTTCTGTGTCTGTGACTCTTCTACCAGAAGCCTCTGGGATCATCAAAATTCACTGCCACATCATTGGCTAGACCACAGGCAGCTCTGCACACCACTTCTAAGATTTGTAAACTATGCTGCCACTCATCGCTCTTTTACCCCTGTAACTGTGCAGTCCCTCAATCCCCCCCTCCCCCATTCTCTTTATTTTAAGCCAGTGTTCCGAGAGATAAGCCCTAGGTATCCTCTGCTGCAGAAACAACTATCTTTTCTCTAGATCTTAACTCCAGGCAATACTTTTTTTTTTAAAGATTTATTTATGCATACAAGAGCTGGGATACAGGTAAGAAATGCGGTGATTGGATTCACCAGAGGCAGAATGGGGAGCAGAACAGGCAAATCTACTGAAATACACTGCTGAGGGTGTTATAGGGCAGCCCCGATACAAAACGGGGTGCCTGACTGTGGGTCCTCACCCGCGCTCTTAAAAGGACTTATCAGTGCTCTACTGCAGGCACACGCGAAAGGTTAATAAAGGGTTTATTTACAAGGGAAGGGGAAATGAGGAAATGTACAGCTCAGGGAGAAAAGTGGGAGACAAAATTTTAAATGAGTCCTACCCGATCCGCCGATCAGGAATCCCAAAATGGCACTCTGAGAGCTGGCCGCCAGCCAGGAGCCATGAAGCCAGGAGGCGAGCGATAGCGAGCCCCCCAAGGCCCACGTGTTTGGTTTTCATACCCAACCTGGCTGCTTAACTCCACCCTCAGGTCCCAGCCACCCTCTCTTTGGTGGTGACGGGATTTGTCTTTCCCAATGTCTTGATGACTTTGGTCTGGAGTGGGGGTGGGGTCCACAAAGCCTGTATGGGATTAGCGCAGGACATCCTTTCCCCCTAACAATTGGAGCAGCGGGCAAGACAGGAGAGGTCTGCTGTGCCATATGGATCACCTCCCTGGCCAGGGATCAAACTCATGCTGCAGTGGCTGCGGACAGCTTCGTAGTGCTGAGACTTAACCCCTTGTGCCACCAGAGGCTCTCTGGGCATTAATTGAACAACTTCTTAATCTGTGTAGGGCTTTTAACATTTACAAACTACTTTTATTATTTAGTATCTTAATAATATAACTACAACTTTCTTCTGTGGTGCTGAACAAGTGGGCGAGGCTTGCTTCTCCCGGAGGTTACACAGCTGTAAGTCTCCCTTAGAATTAGATAAGCTAAGGACCAGCATCCTGTCAGCTTCCTTGAAAACACATCATTCAAATAAAAAATATCTGGAGATAGGGCAGAATTTTCTTTAAGTTATAACTATAGGTTATATGGTAACACGTGATTTATGAAGAACAGTTGAAGTCTACTTGTTCATATAGAAGAATCATTAATACAAGCCAAAAAGGGCCCCCCTGGTGGTGTAGGTGGTTGAGCGCAGTGCTATGAAGCTGTCCGCAGCCTCTGCAGCGCCAGTTTGACGATCCCCGCCAGCTGCGGAGATACCCACATGGCAGGACAGACCTCTCCTGTCTCGCCTGCTGCTCCCCTCAGCAGTGTATTTCAGTTAGTCTGCCTGTTCTGTTCCCCACTCTATCTCTGGTGAATCCTCTCACCTTCCTGCACATCTGACCTGTACCCCGGTTCTTTTATAAATAAATAAATCTTTAAAAAAAAAGCCAAAACAATAAAGTTACAGTGTGTGTGAACAGTCATGTCAGAATAAATGAGTGATTATACTTCAATGAAAAACTGATAGGTCTTTGGTATTTTTAGTATTTTCTGAAGAATTTGAAACTATGTTTGCCTACGACACTTAATAAACACTTGCCACATGCTGGCACTGCAGCTGACTCGCAGCATATCCTGCCCCTCCTTGGCAAAACCAGATAATAATGCCCACTTCCAGAGGAGTGTTTATGGCTACCAGTTAAGATATGTGTGCAAAAGCATAAGGAATAGGGCCTCCCCGGTGGTGCAGCGGTTGAGCGCTGGGTTACAAAGCTGCCTGCAGCCTCTGCAGCGCCGGTTCAATCCCCAGCCACCTGTGAGGGTCCCACATGGCGCGCAGACCTCTCCTGCCACCCGCTGCTCCCCTCAGCAGTGTACTTCGTCACTCTGCCTGTTCTACTCTCCGCTCTGGCTCTGCTGAATTCTCACACGCTCCCGTGCCTCTGACTGTAGTTTTCAGACTATTTTGTGGAATTGGTCTCCTATTTTACCTTTTTGTTGCTGTAATTCTGATTGATGAAAAATACATCTTGCAGCAGAATCTGTGCCAAGGACATGTGATGACCTTACTTCTTACTTAAAAGGATTCTTTGGTGGGGATTAGTCCCTGGGCCATTGGTAATTGTCCTCTATGAGAAGGATTTAGGATTGGACCTCCCTGGTGTCACAGGGGGTTAAGTATCAGCACAATGAAGCTATAGGCAGCCACTGCAGCAGGAGTTCCATCCCAGGCCAGGGAGCTGACCCACATGGTGCAGCAGACCTTCTGCCTCGCCCGCTGCTCCCCTCAGCAGTGTGTTCCAGTGGATCCGCCTGTTCTGTTCCCTACTCTGTCTCTGGTGAACCCTCTTACCACCCACACTTCTGGCTTATACCCCAGTTCTTGTATGCATAAATAAAATAATTCTTAAAAAAGGATTTAGGACTGCTCCAACGAGTATGTATGCCATTGGCCCTGAACTGGTTCTGGCTGACTCCTTTAGCCCAGATTATGTGCTGCTTGAGCTATTGTCTAGATGTTCCCTGAGTCCATCTTCATTCCCAGATGGACAGTCATCTCTTCCAGGACAGGGGCTACATCTTATTCTCTTGCCATTCCTTACAGCAACCAGCACTGACCTGAGCTTTTATGAAAGACCAGTGTGTAAGTCTCTGACTGAAAGTTGGCTTAAGAAGATTCCTGCTATGATGGGGATGGTGACATTTGAAACCCGGCCTAGGTTCTGCTCAGAACCTGCTGACTTCATGCCTGCTGCACTGATTCTAGCTTAGTGTTGATGGTAGGGCACAGGCCTGGGGCCTGGGCTTGAGGCTCCTGTCCCTTAGAGTGATCAGAGACAGAGGTCTGGCTGTGCCTGAGGCAAACTCTCCCCAAAGGAGCCTGCAGTCAGCCAGCCCATTGCTGATC